ACCAACATGGCTACCCTCTGAAACTATTAGGGACTTTGAAATGGTGGAAGGCAAGATGTTGGAGAATCCAGCAAAGTCACCTTCTTTGCTCCTAAGCGGTGTGCCTTCCTTGCTCTTTGTTGTGCCTTCCAATGAGCAGAAACAGAGGGCATAGTCAGACATTCCGAAATTGTTTTAATGCAGTCTACAAAAAGATTGGCAATCACGTCCCCACTTCTACTTCAACCACTTCAGCCACTGTATTGAAACCCACACCCTCCTGAATAATGAACATACCGCTGGGGGAGCCCGGCTCCTGCACAATAATGCATTTTCCCTCAGCGTCTGAGAGTGTGATCTCAACGACATCCTTCTGCCTGGCAGAGTCCCCTTGTGCTCCAAAATAGTGCCCATCTTTGGCGATGATGAGTTCTGCTTTGTTCACTGGTGCTGCCATGTCCACAGAGTGCACTACCAGCATTCTAGGTTGTTCTGGCAGCTCCTGCAGACACTTAATGAAAGGCTTGAATACATCCTTGCCTGGGTTTGATTTGTGTTCAAGCTGATGGTGCTGCAGATTCCGGGGGAGAGCATAAGCCATACCACAAATGCCACACTGGTGGGGCTTGTCACCATGGTGAGCCTTCTGGTGGCGCCGCAGCTTTGTGGCTAGAGGATAGGATTTGGGACATAGATGGCAGCGGAAAGGCCGCTCGCCTGTGTGCAGGCGCTCATGAGCTCGCAATGTGTGGGGGTCACGCAGTGCTTTCCCACATACTGTGCATAGATGGGCCTCACCTGTGTGGGAGATCAGGTGGCGGCGGAGCTCAGGGCGCTGTGGGAAGGCATCCCCACAAAAGTGACAGCGGTATGGGCGTTCCCCTGTATGAAGCCGAAGATGCCCACGCAAATTGCCCTGCTGACGGAAAGACTTGGGGCAGTAGGGGCAAGTGTAGGGACGTTCCCCTGTGTGTAGCCTCATGTGGTTGCGCAGTGATCCAGGATTGGCCAGTTGTCGCCCACATATCACACACTGACAGGCAGCTGCAGAAGAAGCGTTTGGCTCCTTAGCTTGGTGCGTTTTGCGATGAATACGAAGGGAAGGCCGGCGAGCAAAGGATTTCCCGCAATCTGGACAGACAAAAGGCCGTTGGCCTGTGTGCAACACCTGATGTTCCTGCAGGTCACGTTTGGTGCCGTAGGTCTTGTGGCACTGTGAGCAGGGGAAAGGCCGTACACCTCTGTGGCCCAATGTGTGTGCTTTGAAGCTCTCTTCTGAGCTATAGCTCTTGCCACACTCTGGGCACAGGAATGGTTTGTGATCAGTATGTACAAACCGGTGCTTCTTCAGGTGGCAAAGCTGGAGAAAAGTTTTATCACACTCCTCACAGTGGTGTCGTCGCTCACTATTTGCCTCCTTGATACCCTCACAGCTATTAAACACTTCCTTCTGATTCTTCTCCTGCTCCTCCACCCTTTCTCTGGACTGTGATGCACTGGTGACTTCTTCAGCACAAAACTGGTCTCTCAGCATTTCTTTCTTGTGTAGTTTCCCAGCCAAGTGAGCACTGACGCAGACTGCACTGGCTGGAGATGGCTGGGAATGAGTATCAGACAATTCTGCCTCTGTTACTACCTCATTCACTTGCTCTGGTAGAAGATGAGGAACAGCATCCTCTTTACCGCTCTCATCTCTGGTTACGGGGTGGCTCGAAAAGAGATGACTATCTATGCTCTGCATCTTTGTCTCCCTCATTTCACACTGCAGGGTTCTACTTTCCTTTCCTTTTTCAGGACTGTCTTCCAGGGCAAGGAACTGTGTGCCTGGCAGCTTATTATTCAGCATAGGAACACAATGGGCTCTGGCTTTTGACTCCACAACATCGGGAACATCAGGAGGATCTGCAAATTTGAAGTAGTAACTGTTAGTTCTCTTGACAAGACAAAAAGATAATTAATGACTTTCCAAAGTAATACTCCTCTGTTTCTATGCATTGGCTATGTACCACCATCATAATGAATGGAGATATCTGGATGTATGCAGAGGGGACTGAGAAATGCATTGTTTTAGCTACTGAAGACTTTTGAGAACCACAACATCGCTGATTTCAGCTAGGGCATTATGCAATATACTGCTTGAATCTGAATGTTCTAAAACTTTAGGACTGCTGGAGAAGTATTCCAGTGTCTCCTTTCTGGTACTGCAAAACCAGTTATGCCACAGCAG